TTACCAAGTAACCCAGTGAGAACTGCTTGCCTATCATTTTAGTTCAAAATACAAGAAGTTTTATTCCAAGCAAGCATCGCAAGCCCGCTAGGTTAATTTCTGCTGCTTGCTTGGAATAAAATTTCTTGTATTTTATATTAAAATGATAGGCAAGCAATTCTGTTAAAAGCACTGGCACTGAACGTTTGCTTCATGCAGTCTATTTTGCAACTTTTTTAAAATGATGTCAATCCCGAAAATCTCGGGATTAGGAAAACTTAATCCCGAAAATTTCGGGACTGAAAAGTGGTCGGGATCCCGATTTTCGAGATCCCGGGATCAAATCCTTTAGTCTTAATACAGCCTGATAAAAATTTGGCAGATCATTTGGTATTATATATTAATTTACTTTTCAATATTTCAATCATAATTCTTATATACTAGACTCTGTTATTGTAATCATGGATATTATCATCAGTCATTTAATGCTATATGTTTTTTGGACCAGCTGATTTTGATAAGTTAAAATAAACTATAAAAGCCTTGCTTATGCTTATTGTAATCAGAATTCAGTTATTGTTATAATCATCTTTGGGTAAGTAAGCATTTTTAAGCTGTCTTTCTATGCCGTCAACCTCAATATGTTGCTGATGATAAATGTTAATTTAAATGATTTATATGTTAAACATAAAATCATTTTAAGAATTATCATGATTATTATTATTATTTTACAATACAGTAGTCTAAATTGCTGGCTATTTTTATTTCATTAATACTCTAGTTATTGTTAAAAAAAAACTGACACAGCCAATACTGGAGGAATTACATATTAATTAATAATTATTTTTCAAATTATATAATATTGTAATTGTTTTTAGCATTTCTTTTTAATGTCAGAGTCAGTAAAATCATGCTTTCCAATGATTGTAGTCTTATTTACTTACCCTAATTAATGTTATCAGTTTAGATAAATCTCAGAGTGATTACATTTAATTGATTCTTTCATGTAAATCTTTTATTTAATATAATTTTATTTAAATTGATATATGATAAGAATATTATTACATTACATATTGACTGACAAGACAATTAATATCATTCCTCAATAAAATAAATGTTAAGCTGAAAATTGATTTTTTCCCCATTAATTAAGGTATTTTTTACAAATGAACCAGTGTCTAAAATATTTATCTAGATATTTAATGAGTCAAATATAACAGATAATGTACTTTAGTAAAATATTCTGAAATATGAACACTGTTAAAATACATTTTTAGATGATAATATTAATTATTATTATTTTGTGTATATATATGTGAACACATATGATTAGTATTCATTATTTTTTTAATCTTGAAATTAGCAATTTTTTTTCCTGAATTGTTGTTTTAAAATAGGCAGATATAATAATGTAACTAGATTGACTGTTTATTAATTGCAAATATTAAAACTTAATAAATTTTTATATTTTCAGATAGGTTATAATGAGTATCAACTTTATGTTATTGCATCATCTGCTGATCAAAGGGATGACTGGATTAATACTCTGAGAAAATGTAATTTAATAAATATTTAATTGTGAAATATGTAAAATATTTTGTTTTATTGAAATATTTGATATTCAATGCTAATTTGTATTCATTTGAACTAACTCCATATAACAGAACAATAGAGATATTTTAAAATATAATTTAAGGAATTTTTTTAGTACAATATAATTGTGCTGAAATTTTCAAATTGCATACCTATAGATTCTCACAGCTGTTTGTCTGTCCTTCCTAAATCTAAGGAATAGAGTTAGATAGATGAAAATTGAGACCAGATATGAAAGCTTAGAGGCTGGAGGCCCCAATTAATTATATACAAACATCTAGTCTGGACCAGAAGGCATATGATTTCTTAAATTAAAATATGATTAAAAATTCTAGCCTAGCATTGTGACAATATCACAATAATTTGATTTTTTGATATTAAAAGATTATGTAATTTGGACTAAAGATAGGTAACTACATCTGTCATCTTGTAAATTTAATAACTGATAAATACAACCTCACCATAAACTAGAACCGTAATATTTGCAAATCACACCTACATTCAAAATTTCCAGCAAATAAAAGTAAAAAATACATATTGAATGTTTTCGGCCACTAAATTTATACGTCATACAAGATACATCACAGTCATTTTCATTCTTTTAAAATTTAAAAGGCAGCTATGTTTTATTTATAGAATGGTTTTTCCAGTTTGTATTTCCTGAAGAAGGCCGATAAATTTAATGGCCGAAAATGTTATATGTGTATTTTTGACTTTTATTTGCTGGAAATTTTGAATTTAGGTGTGATTTGCGAATTTAATAACTGCTTATCTTTACTCTAAATTACATAATATCTGTATAATTAGTTAGCTGAGTTCTAACTGATAGTTAATCTGGCTCTATCATTTGATTATTAATATAATTTAGGCTTGGTTTTACATTTATATGAAAATAAGTTTATTACCTTGTTTTCATATGTTCTATTTAAAAAAAAGCTATATATTATTGTGGAAATACTTGTTTCAATTTTTATCATTTCTTTTTAATAAAAGAATAATTTTCCTTTTTTTTCTTATTATACTAACTTTGAATGATACATTTTCTATAGAATTTTACTTAAAATAACTGCATACATGTATAAGAAAATAACTGTATGTGTACTTTTCTAAATAAGCTCTAGATTTAATTACTGAAATTAAATGATTTCAGTGCAAAATATTAATGGAAAAAATAAGTCAAAGCTTGCTTTTGAAAACATTTATCATTCAAATTCTTTTCCAAGAGTTATTTGAAAGTTCATTTTCATATATCTCTTGGGGAAGAACTTGAATGAATATAAGTATATCAATATATACATTCTTGCTGTTTAGAAAACAATTATTTACTGTAGCCTAATTAATTCTACCAGAACTGTTGCATAATACAATGATTTGTGCCATTAATTACAATAAAAATGTTTTATTGGAATAAAAAGTATAAGAAAAAGATTAAAGCACTTTCAAGTATTGTATATTCATCATGAGAACACTTCAAAATTTAGAATCCAGTTAAATGAACAAAAACATTTATTGGAAAAAGTTTTCAACTTTTATAAAGGCCATTCTCAGTTTCTACTGGAAGAATGAAAATCAAACAAGATAAATTTTAAAAATGTTTGTTTCATAAGAAGTTTGCATGTGCAGGAGTAGTGTAGTATAATATATTATAAATTAAAACAAATACAGAAGAAAAATAACATATGCAAAAAATTTAAATAGCTATATATAACAAAAAGTCATAAAAAAACAATAAATATACTATTTAACTGTATTCTAGGTTTTTTAATTAATTTATTTATTGTTTATGTAAAATAAATTACAAAATATCTTTTCAAAATCCGTAAAAACGTTTTTTACATAAACAATAAATAAATTAACTGTTCTCTGGGTTATGAGGTTTAAATAGCTTGGGTTTAATAATATGGTTTTAGTACTTTTGAATTTCCTGCCAGGTAGGGTGCTGCATTCGAGAGCACTGTCCAGGAGGTGAAATTAAAAAAAAAAAATGAAAATCTAATATTTTTTTATTTAAAGTTATATTTTTTTCACACTGCGAGCAGCTTGCAATGTCTTTTGATTGCAGATGATAAAATCATAAAATTCTTTACAGGTGTATTTGAAATTTGTGCACACTTGTATTTCAGATTTTATATATGTTTCATTCAGTCGATCATAACTTTTTGATCAAAGTTTGTTTACTACGCTGAAAACATGCTCAACAGGGTGTTTGCGATAGGGATCGATAGAGCAAATGCAACAAGTTTTTTTTTATTTCTTTGCCAGATTCACTTAAGCATTTTCCAAAAAAATTGATCCAACGCATGTCTACTCTCTTTGTTTTGCTTGCCAGAACTTCACAAACTTCTCGCAGTAAACAGTAATTATCATACAATTTATCCTCATTTATAGGCATGTTTAGAGAAGAACTCAGATCTTTTAGTTCATTCCAATCAATTTCTTCATCCATTGTCAAAGTGTTCATTTTCTTGTAAATATTCGTAGAGTCATCAAATTCATACAACTTATTCAAATAAGTCAATCATTGCTCCAAGTATTTTTTTTTTGGATATTCTTTAAAAGTATTTTGATGACTAACCTTCAACTTCTTCAGTCATTGCGTTGCTGACTGTTCATAAAACTTATCATTCTTTCAGTTAGTAATTTTGTTTTGCAATTCTGTCATAATGATGTGTAGTTTAGTGCATGTAATATAGTCACTTTTCAGTTTTTTTTATAGAAACATCAAAAATTTGCAGTATGTTGTGAATAAAATGGCAGAAGCATGATGGAAGACAGTTCTCATCTTTAAAAGCCCTCCAAATTATTGCTATACATTCATCATCACCTTCATTAAGAAAATATATTTTCAAAGCTGGCAAATTCAAAAGAATTCTTTCTAAAGCTGGAAGCAAAGAGAGCCATCGTATAGGCACATGGGGGAGAATAGGTTTGTACTCTAAGTGAGTGAAATTGAAGAATTCCTTAAGCTTCGCAGTTTGCTTGGCAAACGCTGAAAATTTACCGTAAATTTTCAATACAAATGATTCCACATCAAACTGAAATGTTTTTAATGCATATTTGTTACAATTATGTAAAATGTGGCACTTACAGTTTGCCTTCAAACTATTTGGATTTTCAGTCTTAAGTTTTTGAAGAATGGTTTTGATTTCCATAATTAACTGAAGCATTATCTGCAGATAGTGAAGATATCGATTTCCATGATAATCCATTTTCCTGTAAAACTTTACAGAGATGTGTTTTAATCACTTCATTAGTTTCAGCAGGGTCTTGATAAAAGTCAAGTAATTACAGATAAGTTGTGCTTATCTGTAATTTTTTTATTATATAATAAATATAAATAAAACAATATATATCTAAAAATTAATACTGCATCATTCTTTTGCAAGTCTGCTCAATTTTTCATAAGTGCTTTTAAATAGTTGAATTCTTAATAATAATTATTCTGCTTAATAATAGTTTGAACATTGTTAGTTAAAGTAATTTAATATCTGTTTTTTCATGCTTAATTTTTCAGTATGTGCTGATAATCTTGATCTTCTTGATAAATATCATGGTGGAATCTGGTCCAATGGTCACTGGACTTGTTGCGGTCTTATTGTTCGTAATGCTACAGGTTGCTTAACTACATGGATAGCTAATAATCATTTATCACCAAATGAACCAAAACCTCTTCCTCAATTGAATATTCAAAACTCAGGTTTGTATTTACATTTAATATTCAAACTTAATTGACACTTTTGTTACTTTGTTAAAAAAAATTAAGAGATGGAGAAAGAGGGGTGAAATTGGCATTATGAATTTATTAATATCAACACTATAAAATTTATATAAGAATATTAGTTTTATATACAAAAATATTTTATATTTGTTTTGATGTAAAAAACATGGTGCTTCAAATATAATAAAGGTTAATATTTTAATAAGTCATAAAAAAATGAAAACCTATGAACCATATAAATGAAATTCCAGTATAGTTTAATGCAGATAAAATACAAATGTTTTTGATCTACATAGGAGATCATCTTTAGGTTAATGTGATCCAAAATGGAATGCAAGGAAAGGAACATTTTTAAATTATTTCAAAATGCTCAAATACATAAATAATACACGAGTGAACATAATGTAATACAAAATAACAAATTCTGTAATACAAAATAAAATATAAGTATAAATGAGAATTTACAAAAATCTGTATAAATTTTTTAAAATGACTATCATTGTTGGTGTAATGATTGCTATGCATAAGATAATTGTTTTTCATTCTTGAAATTGAGCAAAATCCATCCTTTTCAGATTTGAACATCTCAAGAGCTTCTCGTGTCCTGATTTGGTTGTAATGTTTAGATTGTCATATAATAAAAGCTTTGTCTAGGTAGGCTTGAATGTCATTGTCTGTGGCATACTTGTCTAGGGTGGTGATGTATTTTCTTCTATCATTATCATATCTGTGTTCTGCAAACCTTATTTTGAGTGATTGCATGGTGGCTTGCAGAAAGCTTGCAGAACACAGATATGATATTGATAAAAGAAAATATGATGATGATCAACCAATATATACAGGGTGAATTACTTGTAGCATTCAGTAGCTTTTTTCTCAGAAATCATTGGAGATAGAAAGATGGGACTAATAACGAAGTTTATAGAGCAGACAGGATAATTTTTAGTGATCTTGTATGACCTTGAAAATCAGCAGTTATTGAGATAACCAAATAGTTTTTTTTAAATTATGAGGAGCACTTTTGAGCCATTATACAGATAGAACGTGACAAAATAAATACTTTTTGTAATAGGTCATATTTTCTTAAACCTAACTGCTTTTATGAAATATTTTATATTTATTTATGTTATAATTAATATTGTGTATGTTATATAATTTATTATTATTTCAAAGAGAAATTATTTTAGTTCTATATTTTACATAAGTCCAATTCATTTCATGAAGTTCTTGATGGAATTAAAATATGAACTTGTCACTCTGGATCATGCAGTCATATTTTAAGTGTTTATATCTTCATACTAATACAGTAGTGCCTCGTATAACGTACGCCTCGAATAACGGACGCTGCGAATAACGAACTTTCTGTTTGGCCATTACATGACTCGAGCAACAGACTGGCTGCGGACAACGGACTTTCCGTTCGGCAGTTACGTGAGGCGACCAATGGACTTTCTACGAACTAGTGAGAATGATGTTTCCACTCTTTTGCCGTTGCCAATGACAATCTGCTATTTTTATAATATATTAGTATTATTAGAATATATTATCAGTACATCTGAAGTACAGAGCTTCCGTTGGGATTAGGCTTACTCCCTTGTTTATTACGTACATCACTTCAGTGCAGGGTATTTACATTTATTCAAGTGCTGTTAAAATCATGGCTTCTATAAAAACAGAAAATTGATTTCAATTGAAGCAATGCAAGAAATCATCAGAAGGAGTGAGAGTTGACAAAAACTTCTTTGTCGAATGGGGAGAGGTTCAAGACTTTACCAACACTCATTATCCAAACAGAGCTGAGGCCAACAGTATCAATGATCTCTACAATGACACTCTTGCCCATCATTTCCGACAGGTGTTGAAGAAGAGAGAGAAACAGACCATCTTGGACATGTTTTTCAAGAAGCCAGCAGGGAAAAAACAAAGGATGGAACAAGAGGAGTTGACCCTGCAAGCTCCAGTAGCCTCTCCTGAATCTGAATCCGATTAAAAAACAATAAAACAAAGACCTGCTGCAATGTGTAAAAAGTCTGTATCTGTATAAATGTGTGAAGAAAGTGTTTCTCCACCTCCTCCTCACAACATCTGACTACCCGGCATAATTGGTGACTGCTCCATTTTCATATTTTTGTTATGGTACAGTACGGTTATTTTATGCTGTGAAACGAATTATATGTTTTAACATGTATTTCTATGGAAAAATGCGTTTCGTATAACGGGTGTTTCACTTAACAGACGTGCACCTGGAACGGATTAAGTACGTTATACGAGGCACCACTGTATATTATAAAACAGATAGGGAAGGAGTTTTGTCTATTGGAAAAGTATAGGTGATGTTGAAAGTGCTGCTATAATGTAGTTAGCATGGTTAATGGTTATTTAAACATTAATATATGAGTAAGTCATAAAAGGCAGTTTCAGCTTATTTTGTTCCTTCACTAAACTTTACTGTTAGAATAATACCATACAGAATATAGATTTAATAGATTTATAATATGTAATAAATCTATTGTTTATTAATAATAACAAATGCTCAGTTTTGAATAATCTCTGTAATTTCAGCCATATCTTTTAATATTTAAAAAAACTATTCAGATTTTATTTTAAATACACATTTTGACAGTATAATTATATGTATTAAATATATAAGTACTGAATCAAATCTTGAAAATTTGTGTTGAAATATACTCAAAATTTATTACAGGTAATAAAATTAATAATACACCTCCTGTTCATGAGAAATCTATCATGGTAAGTAGATTATATATACATAATGATG